AATAAATCTGATCTTATATGAATACTTGCAAAACAAAACTGAAGCGATCCAAGTAAGATAAAGACAACTTCCCCAAAGAATTGACAATTTTCTTCCTATATTTTCTTCCAATTTTATACTAACATGATGTAAGCAGTGGGGTACCACAAAGTTCTGTCTTAGGCCCAGTACTCTTCCATATCTTCATAAATGACGTAGATGAGGGAATAGAAAGGAACTTATCAAATTTGCAAATGATACTAAGCTGGCAGGAATAGCTAACACCCTAGAAGATAGGCTCAAGATACAGATGGATCTTGACAGACTTGAACACTGGACCCTATCTAACAAAGTGAAATTCAATATACAGAAAAGTAAAGTCCTACCCTTAGGTAAGAAAAACCAAGAGTTTTACATATAGGCTGGGTGAAACCAGGCTTAATAGCAGTAACTGTGAAAGGGATCTTGGAGTCTTAGTGCACAACCAATTAAATATGAGGCAACAGTGTGTGGCGGCAGCCAATGCAATCCTAAACTGCATTAACAGAGGGATACAATCAAGGTCAATCAAGTGAAGTACTAATACCACTCTTTAAAACCTTAATAACGCCACACCTAGAATACTGCATCCAGTTTTAGTCACCACAGTATAAAAAAAGATGTTGAGACTCTAGAAAGATTGCAGAGAAGAGCAACCAAGATGATTAGGGGACTGGAGGCTAAAACATACAATGAACAGTTGCAGGAACTGGCCATAGCTAGTCTAGTGAAAAGAAGAACCAAGGAAGACATGATAGCAATGTTCCAATATTTGAGGGGCTGCCAGAGAGAGTAAGGGGTCATGCTATTTTCCAAAAGCACCAGAAGGCCAGACAAGGAATAATGGGTGGAAATTGAACAAGGAATGATTCAAGCTGGAAATAAGGAAAAAAATTTTTGACAGTAAGAGCAATCAACCAATGGAACAGAAGTTGCCTTCAGATGTTACGGAAGCTTCATCACTGGAAGCTTTCAAGAAGAGACTGGACTTCCATCTGTCAGAAATGGTGTAGGGTCTCCTGCATGGGCAGTGGGTTGGACTAGATGACCTACAAGGTCCGTTCCAACTCTGTTAATCTAATCTAATTAAACATTAATAACTATTATTCACATGTATATTTCAGTAAAATAAAATATTAACTTTTATTGACTAAAATTAAGAGTTCTATTGTCTCTGGTCAATTAAAATTTTATTGAAGAAAACTGATGCTTAAATGTATAAGAGGAAGAGAATCAGCAACCATTGTTATTAGACATAATTGTCATCTTTTCTAGACTATAGTAATGTCTTACTATTTCTAATTACAGAAAAATCGGTTACATAACTTAGTGTTCTTTGCTATGTTTAATTCATATCTCCACAACTTGTGATCCACTAACAATTTAAGTTGGGGTTTTGGAAGACTCACTAGATCATTTGAAAATTCATCTTAGCAAGTAAAAAAAAGAGAGCAAAAATAACATATATAGAGGCATGGACAAACAGAAAGGCCATTATAAAGAACATCAAGTAATAATTCTTTCATCAGAAGGCCCACATCAAAATAAATAATTCTTCATTTACTAGGTGGTTAATTAATAGAGGACATATTTGCTGGCAGGTCATAAACTGTGCAGACCTGATATCTTACATCAGTATCAATTACAGATTAAGCCACACATCCTCCAAGCAAGTAAATAAATTAGTTAATCTGATTACAGCTGGTCAATAAATATCCTGCCCATGGCATATTCCATTTTGTTATTAAAGACTTTATGGCCTTGTAAATGCACGGTACAAAATCTTATGACATCTTAAAGATTAACATTTATTTTGGTGAGAATAGAATAAAATGGAGTGGAGTGGAATGGAATGGAATGAGCTGGAAGGGACCTGGGAGATCTTTTAGTCCAGCCCCCTCTTCAAGCAGGAGAACCTATACTATTTCAGATAAGTAACTGTCTAGAGCAGTGTTTCTCTTGGCGACTTTAAGTCCAGCTGTGCTGGCTGGGGGATTCTGGGAGTTGAAGTCCACAGGACTTAAAGTCGCCAAGGTTGAGAAACACTGGTCTAGAGTCTCAACTCTTCTTAAAAACATCCAGTGATGGAGTGTCCACAATTTCTGGAGGCAAGCTGTTCCACTGGTTAATTGTCCTCACTGTTAGGAAGTTTCTCCTTAAATCCAGGTTGCTTCTCCCTTTGATTATTTTCCAACCATTGTTTTTTGTCCTTGACTTCCTCTTCTTTATGGCAGCCTCTTATGGTTTCTATGAACTAATTCAATTCACCAAATCCAGTCAGCCCACATATGTAACATGTTAATTTTTCCAGATACTACAATCTCTTTGATGATTAATTTTACTTAAAGCAAGATGGCCCATACTGGTTTTCCAGCTCTTGCAAATAATATGAAACTGTGGAGTTCTTGGGATTCTCTGAATTTGGTTGAGATGCACCAAGAACTCTGTACTTCAACCCTGAGCTACATGTATTCTTTTCCATTGGAACTTCAATACAAAAATGCAAATCTCAACAATAAAACGTATTAGAGTTAAAAAGTACACTCCGGCATCTTGTAATTTGAATACAGTGGCAACACAAACTATTTTGTGCTGCACTGTGTTAAATTATTAAAAGTAGGATCTTCAGTTGTATTACACGATAGGAGCATCAAAGGAGATCTTTATAAATCCTGTAACTCCAGCCTACTTATTCAACTGGCAGAAGTGATTAATTAAATACCCATCTTTCCGAATACCCATCTTTCCTGCAAGCAGATGAAGAATCTCAGATCCTGTACTTCCCTCCACATTCTTATTAGCCTAATGTGAATGCTCAACTATCAGTTAATAGATAAATGCCTTATAGCGCTAGTGGCAAATTGGCCAGTTGCAAATTGGCTTCTAATGAATGTGACCCAAAGAATAGTGATGTGTAGCAACACACCTATATTACTTCAGTACTCTTCTAGGGTACTAGATTAGTGTCCATTTGTGCAATTTGTAGTTCATTTGTGTATAAAATATAAAATTCACCCTAAGTAATTCTACATATGCCCTATTCTCTCTAGAATATAATATAGAATTCACCCTAAATAATTCTACATATGCCCTATTTATCTATAGAATATGGAATTTGTGTTACAAAAATAGCACAGGGTGGTTTTGTTTGTTGAAAAACTAATTTTTGCTGTTGTTCTTACCTAGGCTTCCCTTTCACTTCTCTTTTATTTTCTCTAGGAGGGGCCATTCATCATACACTTGTGGCCTTACTCCCAAGTCAACCCCTGTTCTTTAGCTGTTCCCTTCATCTGGCAACTCTGNTGTGGCCTTACTCCCAAGTCAACCCCTGTTCTTTAGCTGTTCCCTTCATCTGGCAACTCTGCGCATGCACACACTGGGAACAGGCTCCAGCTGTTCGTCTGCCTCACTGATGTCTGACTCTGAAGGCAGCTGATAACCGTCAGACAGCCCTGGCCCCATCTCTGCCTCCGACACAGAGCCCTCATCAGAGCCTTCCCCAGACTCTAGGACTAGCCCATGTTCCTCCCCAACTGCCTCACTGTCCGAAATCTGCTGCCAGCTCTGCTGGCTGGCCACAACAGCTGTACACAGTCTCATTGTTTGCCTTCTGTGATGTGTCATCCTTCCATGATTCCAAATCAACATAGAAGGGAATGCTGGAATCTGCACACCAACTCATTTAGAGCAGTGGTCCCCAACCTTTGTGGCTTAATGACCTGTCTTGGAGGGAGAGGGGAACTGGGCCATGCAAGTGGCAGGCCAGCGTGCATGTGTGCAGTTCAACTCGGGCAAGCTGAACTGGTACATGCATGCACGAGTGCCTACTGGCCCACCATTCAACAAGTTGAGCTATGCGCACGGACACACATTCACACTCCAGCCAGCCACTCATGTAGCTCAATTCAGAATAGGCCATGGCCTAGTTGTGGTCCAGGGCCCAGCAGTTGGGGACCCCTGATTTAAGGAGTCTCAGAATGGGGAATACTGGTCTAAATAGTTCATTGGCCATAGCTTGCAGCTGTATATAATGCCCTCTAAATAAAGCAAACTTAGAAAGCGTATTTAAATTAATGTATTTTCAATACACTTGGTTTGAGATTCAGTAAGGCACAATAAATGTATACAGTGAACTGACGACAGTGGATTCAGAATTGAACTTTTTACATATTTCAGTTGGCAAAATATACAGAAATGCTACTGAAAGGAAATACTTGTGAAGCATTGCACAAAATAACATCATCTTCTCTTACCCTGATTTACAGATAGATACTGCTAAAAAAAAATTCACATTTTTCTTCTACTGGGATTTATCCTCGGGAAGTATCCACGCAACCAGTGAATTACTGCTGACACCCATGCTTTGTCTCTGGTAGCATTTTACTGCCTATATTAAAACTATTAAAATTGAGAAAATTTAAATTGCCAGATATAAAAGTTGGTGGTACTGTGATTATTTCCCAATTAAAGGTAAAATATTATTTGTACAACATTGCAGTGAAGGATGTAACTCTTTTCTCGTAATAGCCAAGTGTGGAAGTTCTAATTTAAGCATAACTGCCCATGGAGTTAAGGATTTGCGTGTCTTAAGGTACCTTGATCTTCAGGGGTGGTTTTCACAAATATGCGCTCACCTCAGTGGTGGGTTATGACCGATACACTCCGGTACAGGCATACCGGTGCCTGCTGGGAGCACTGGGTACCTGTTCTGTCCCAAGCCTCTAATATATACTGATGCAGACTTGGCTGTCTGCCACAACTAAGGAGGGAGATAAGCAACCCCTTGGCTAGGAGCCCTGAAAAGTATCTCTATGAAAACAAGACTTGAACCCATGAAATTCTCCCAATCTTTCACTACACCTGGATTAGTAAACTGTTGTTTCCTGCAAAGTTCTCCTCCTGTCGCTCCACCTATAAGCTCTCCGGGAGGGGCCAATCAGTAGCCACCTGTTCCTATTTCCTTTCTGTGAGCCTTTTTCCACAGCTGCTCCCTCCTCCTCTGGGCCCTATGCATACGTACATCAGGGACAGCCTCCCTCAGTTCTTCCTCACTGCTCTTTGACTCAGACGCCATCTGATGGCCTCTCTAGTCTCTGCTCTGACTCCAGTCTTCCTTAGCCTCCAGGGCAGTCCCATAGTGTTCATCGCTGTCAGATTCCACCAACAGCTCAGACAGCTGCTGTTGGGCTACAACAGTCCCGTTCTGGTACAGTGCTCCAGAGGGCCCACCCGCCCGCCATTCTTACATGTATTTGAGCTCTTCGGGGCTTCCGCACACCAAGCATAAGGCACCTGTGCAATGCTCCGCTGAGCAGCTGGAGCATCGCGGAGCGTCACAGATGATAAGTATACATGCATGCCCTGTGCGCATTCATGTGGTGGGTGCTGGGCCCCACTGCACTATACCGGTTGCAACAGGATCCGGAACCCACCACTGGCTCACATGCTCGTTTGGCTCACTCCGGCCTTCCGTACATGTGCTTTACTCAAAAAACATTTGTAAATAGGATGAAATAGAGCCAGGACGGGTTGCTATCAGTTCTGACGAACTGGTCCGAACCGGCTGAATACCACCTCTGATGATCTTGCTCTTTCCCAACTTGTTTTTAATGTGCAAAACTAGAAAACTACATTTTCCCCACTTGAGAAAGATGTCTTACAACTATAAGAGTGTCCAGCAACAGGGGTTTCAATGTGTCAAGGGTAGCAGAGCAGTGAATAAAAATATGTATGCCATATTTGATCTCTAAATGAAATACGGCTCACTGGCTATCATTGCACAGTAGAACGAGGGGATCAAAAACAGAGGACAGATATTATATCGGTCTGGGTAGTAGGTGTTAAAACATTGCAACTTATTCTGCTTCTCCTTTAAAGACTGAGCTTCTGGAATACAGCAGATTTGGCTTTAAGGATTCTCACACAGGAAGCTGATTTTGGTGAAAGTTTGTACTGATTGGAAAAAAAGGAAATTGCACAACTACAGGACTATGTCTCTCTGCCTCTGCATAACAAAACCACACTATATAAAGGACATAAGTACAAATCAACCCATGGATGATGTAACAGCAGCACATTCAGGAATCTTACAGTGCATTATTATTAGAGAAAAGGAGGAAATTGTGAATTCCTGAGCAAACTTATCCATCATGGAACTGGGCTTCAGTTTTTGTGGCACAAGCTTCTTCTTGCGAAATCCACAAAATTAGGCACTTTAAGATATACAATTCTTAAAAAAATTCTGAACAACATAGTATGTAAATATAAGGAGCAAGGACTATTTAAAAATATATTTTCTTTTTCTGTGTGACAATATTCCAGTGCAAAAACAGTTTGAATGAATTGGAAGATTCATCTTGTATTTTGATAGGGTTACATTCTGTTAAAAGGACAAGAAAAGAGAACCTGCCCCCTCCCAATGATTTCATAAGATCATAGCGCAGTCTCAAAAATTATTAGTCCTTGAGATTCAGATGTTGATGAACTGGTGACTGCTCGATCACTTGAAGTAACTTCAGGATAATTCTTCTTAAAATAAACCTAAGAAGGAAGATATTGTATGTTACATTTATGTGGTAGCTTATTCTGAAGCTTGTCACTTAAGGATATATATCAAAGATAAAAAAAATACACATTTTAAATCCTTTTATTTCTTTTTTTTTTTAAAGTAATAAACCTGCCTTCATTTTCAGCAAAGCATACGTATTTCAACATATAGGGTCGTTATCCCACTAAAAGTGCTAATAATTCTGATCAACAGATAACTATTATTGGACATTAAACTGATAAATAAAATCCTTTTACTGGCTCAGAAATGGAGATAAAAACAGGGTGACAAAGCTGCTTCGAAATCTAGTGTCTGCGCAAGGGCTTTCCATTTTCACACATAAAAATAAGCACAATAGATTTGGATGTGAATATCAAGGTTGTAATCCCTGCATTTTACAAACTATGATTGACAAGCATTGAAAGTTCAGGATAGATGTATGAAATATCCCAGCATTTAATTTGCAATGTGGCAGAGTCACAGAGCTTTATAGAAATGTGATCTGGGGGAAAGGTGGCACAATAATGAAAGGGAAAGGGAAAAGAGGAACAATGGCTCGAGCAAGCAACTTCTCTAAAATGTAAGATGATACCAAATAATAGAATAGTTCTTGGCTGAGCTTTTGAGTTGTTGAATTCTACCAATTTCGAGCTGAACTGCCAGAGATACAGGTTTCCCGATAAATGTATAATCAGAACATAAAGGAAATGAAATCCTGTCAAGTTTCACTGTTCCACAATCATCAGTTTTCAGTAGTTGTATCATATCTCTGCTCCCTGACAGATGTGGGTAACAAAATGAAATAATGTCAAGACTTGCGTGCTCTTATCGGAAAATGTGTTTGGGTGAAAAGGGGCTTCAAAATGTATTTTTCCCCCAGAAAGAAGAATGTCAAAAAGTTTTATTTAAAACACACAAAATGCACTATCTTCCACAGAGCCGACATATGTCATGAGTTAGGCCTAATATTTATGCTTTCTGGAAAACAGTACAGGGAGCCTGTTTGTTTGTAATTTATATCACTGGGTGATGCTCCAGGCAGAGTTACAAATAAATTGTTCGTCTCCTATAAAGAGATGGGCCACGGTCTAATAAAATGTATTTTACAGAGACATGTAAGTTATGCGATTTCACTGTTCTTAGAAGTCGCCTTTCCACATCTTTATGATAAAGGCTGCATTTAAATTCAAACCAGCTTGCCAACTTTTGGGGTTGTTTTTTCCAGGATCTTATACTTGATAGAATTACAAGAAAGGCAGAACTATTCTTCTCATCACTAGATTTCTATGGTGCAATAAAATTGATTGCCAAAATGCCATTTCCAGAACAGTTCTTGTAGGCACAGGCCCTGTTCCTTAATAATTGGCATGGTCAATTGCAAAACCATCTTAAGAGTCTCTGAACCCAGAATCTGTTTTGATGTTCAGAGATCTTGAAAACTGGTATGTCCCGCAGAAAGATTAAAATTGGGTTTCTGTATTTCTCATATATTTGATTTATGAGCAAGAGGTTCCTAACTCTTTAAAAGAAATAAGACTACTGTGAAATTGATGATGAGCATAATTAATTGAATGTAAGGGTTTTTAAAAGAAGTTCTTACTGAACTTGAAATTTAAAACTTTGCTTTACAGAATTGTTTGGAATTTAAGTTTGGTGGAAGTGGAAAAAATTATTTCAAATATCCAGCACTTTGAACCAAACATCTCTTGTTCTAACCAGATATTTGTATTTCAAATATTGCTAATTTCACAGAGAGTCCAGAAGAGTTATATTATATTTTATTTCATTTTATTTTTATTCTGTTCTGTTCTGTTCCATTCTATTCTATCCACATATTTTGGCTTAATTATATTCAAGAATCAAATAGTCTTATTTGAGCCGAAGTGGCACAGTGGGTAGAGTGCAGTACTGCAGGCCACTTCAGCTGACTGCTAGTTCAGCAGTTCAGCGGTTCAAATCTCACCGGCTCAGGGTTGACTCAGCCTTCCATCCTTCTGAGGTGGGTAAAATGAGGACCCAGATTGTGGGGGCGATATGCTGACTCTGTAAACCGCTTAGAGAGGGCTGAAAGCCCTATGAAGCGGTATATAAGTCTAACTGCTATTGCTATTGCTATTGCTATTGCTATTGCTATTGCTATTGCTAT